CTGTGTCTGTCTCACCACTGTGTCTGTCTCACCACTGTGTCTGTCTCACCGTTGCTGGAGGAGCCCAGTGGGTTTCCTGGCCTGCCATCCCTCTGCCAGGTCTCAGCTCCCTGCCACCTGCCCTGCAGGACCTGGGGCCACTTGGACCCCAGTGGAGGCTTGTCCCAGCCTCAGCCTCCCTGCAGCCCCTTCTTGCCACATCTGTGTGTTCGCTGCCACCACCCTTCTGTACTGTGCCTCAAAGAGGCCCCAGACTCACTCCACATTTCCACTGGTTTTCTTTCCAAGCAAGTTCTCATCTGTTATCCAATTTAATGCTCCTCCAACCTTGTGAGATCATCGGCTGAGCCATAAGCCCCTGAATCCAGGTCCCACAGCTGGTTGTAAAGCTGGACCAGAGGCAGGGCTCCTCCTGGTTAAGTGCCATATTGAAAAAAGGCCTGAGTGACAAGACTCTGGATTCCAGTTCTGGCTCTGACATCATTCCCTGTGTGACTCTGAATAAGCTCTTGCTCTCCTGTGCAGAAAGGAGTAGGTGGACGAGGTGATACAGTCTTCCCAACTCTGAAAGCCTTGGAAAGATGGAGCCGAATCCTTTATTCAGCAAACACGCCTTGTCCCTTCCAGTGACGCCAGCCTGTGCTGGAGCTGGAACCACTGTAGCAGGCCTGCCTTCTGGGTAGGGGTAACCCTAGCGAAAGGCCTGGTCCACACATGAAAGGGCTGGCCACAGTCAAAGGGGCAGCATACAAAAGGCCTCTGAAGGCCGGTCACAGTGGCTCACACCTGTAATCCCAGCACTTTGGGAGGCCAAGGTGGGCAGATCACAAGGTCAAGAGATCAAGACCATCCTGGCCAACATGGTGAAACGCCATCTCTACTTAAAATACAAACAATTAGCTGGGTGTGGTGGCTGGGCCTGCAATCCCAGCTACTCAGGAGGCTGAGGCAGGAGAATCGCTTGAACCCAGGAGGTGGAGGTTGCAGTGAGCCAAGATCTGCACCACTGCACTCCAGCCTGGGGACACAGCGAGACTCCGTCTCAAAAAACAAAAAACCAAAAGGCCTCTGAAAATCATCACAGAGACTGCCAAGCCCCTATCATGGCCTCTTTCTGTCCCCCCCAATTCTCTCACACCCACCCTGTCCCCAACCTCTCTTTCACCCCCACCCCCACCATCACATAAAACCACTCTCCACCCCCAGCCTGGACGTGCTTCTGCTTACATGGTGCCATTACTATTGGCCAGAAACTCACTTAATCCTCCCTACAGCCACCCTATGCCACGGACATTATTATCCTCATTTTACAGACGAGGAACCAAGGCCTAGAGAAGCTAAGTGACTCATTCAGGTGTTCCCAGTAGGAAGTGGCAGTGTGGGGATGTGGTCCCAGAGCGCAGGGTCCCAGTGCCTGAGGTCAAATCTGAACTCTCCTGCTCACCAACTGTGGCCTTGAGTGTGGCCTTGAGCAGAGGCCCTCTCATCCTCTCTCAGTTTTAGCTTCCTTCCTTGTAGAACAGATCTCCCCATTTCTACCTTTGGGGAGGCTGTGAACAGACCTATGTCTGTCACCATCTGTGTGCTCTCAGCATATCACTCACCCTCTCTGAACTTAGAGGCTTTGTCTAGAAATGGGGAAAGCAGCACCTGCTTCACAGGGTTGGTGTGGGGATTACAAGAGAGTATTGAGAAAGAGCTGGTGCTCAGTAACCCCGAATTTCTCTGAAGCTGCCTAATTGTAAAGCGAATCGGGCCCTGTGGTTGGACAGGCAGGTTGCTTCTGATTATCCACCATATTGTAAATATGGCTGCAGGGAACATCTTTTTGGCTCTCTTGGATTCGTTCCTATGGATAAAGTCCTGGGGATTGATTGCAACCTAGGTCAAAGGTCAAGGACACTTACTCAAGTTGGCAGCTTTTTGTTATGAGCAGGATTCCGGAGTCTATAGTCCTAAGGGTGAATCCCCATTGGTCTATTTCCTAGTCACTAGCCTTGGGCAAGTGACTCCACCTTGCTAAGCCTCCGGTTTCTTATCTGTAATAATATTACCTGTTTTAAGGGATTGTTGCCTGACATGAAGTACTATAAACCCTACCTTTTATTACAGTCCTGACTTGCTCTGATCACCCGTCCTTAGTTAATCAATAGGGAAGCCGAGGTCAAGTGAGGGGAGTAGTCTCCTACCAAGGTCACAGTCTGTGTGCAGCTGGTAGCCCAGATCTATCTGGGGCTAGTTGCAGCATCTTCTTTGCAGACCCTGTCAGACTCAAGCCAGGGCTGGAATTGAAGTGGTACAGACGTTATGGTGGCCCAAGGCCTCATCCAGGTAGCAGAGGGAAAGTTCCAAATTGCTCTCCGTGTCCTAACTAATGCCTGGGTGAGCCCCACTGTTTTCTTTCTCACCTCCATGCTTTTGCATCTGTTGTTTCTGCTAGAATGTTCTCCCTGACCAACCCACTTTAAACTGCATGACCTTCTTACCCACTGGACTATGATGGGGCCCTGCCTTCATCTCTGTCTGTTGATTGAATAGAATGAACTTGGGGAATTTCAGAGCTGGTCTGGATCAGTTTCATGTTTTCTAATGGAGAAGTGGATGCCTTGCCCAAGGACGCATGGTCTATCCACGAATCCATTTCTTGTGTGCTTACTAAGTATTTGGGGTGGGTGCAGTGCACAGACAGGAAGGGTCAAGGTATGGCAGAAGGAACACGTGTCTGGGGATCAAAATACTTCAAGTTTACTCTCTGTCGTTCCTTCGCTGGGACCTCATGCTTGCTTTGGCTCCTATCTGGGCCTCAGTTCTCCCACCTCTAAAATGGAGGTGATAAGCTCACCCACCTCTTGAGGCTGGTGTGAGTAGGAGTTGGAGATGCTGTGCCAATGTTACACCCAAGTGTCATGTGGCAATGGCCCCAGCTGAGAGGGGGGCTCCCAGGACACAGACAGCAGGGTCAGGCCTGGAGTCAGGCAGGCTTGGGACCAAAGCCCGGATCCTTCACTGTGTGACCTTGACTGAGTCACTTCCCTCCTCTGAGCTCAGTTCCTCCTCTGTGAAGTCATCTCCTCAAAGAGGCCTTCCCTGGCCCACCTCCTGCCCTTCATTTCTTCCATACCTCTGACCACAGCCACGGTTCTCTTGTTTGTTCCTTTTTTTTTTGTCTGTCTCTTCCCTCCAGAATATGCATTCCAGGAGAGCAGGGATATTTGTTTTGTTCCCCGACGTATCCCCAGGATCTGGCACAGGACTGGCAGGTAATAGGCACTCAATGATATTTGTTGAATGAGTGAATGGATGAATATGTGAATGCATGGGAGTTAGTACTTCCAACCTCCCAAGGGTGTTTAGAGAGGAAGGGCGAGATGCGTAAGGTGCCCGGCCCAACGCATAACAGGCTGGCTCAGTGAGGATGGAACTGCTGTTACCATCCTGAGGAAAAACTTCACAGCTGCCTCCCAGGAAACTGGGCCCAAGGTGTGGGGTGGGAGAGCACAGCAGCTCCCACAGTGTAGCTTCCATTTCCTGGCTGGGGCTGAGCCCTCTAATTGCTCCCATCTCCTTGGCAGCCTCAGCAGCTGTCTAATGAGTTTGCACCCGGCTGGCTCCTGGGCTTGGCCGCACAGCCCAGGCCTGCCTGCCCAACTGCAGGCAGACAAAGGCCCTCTGTCCCTGGGATCTGCTTCCTGCCCGCCCACTGTGTCCCTGACAAACTGAGGTCCCCAGCTGCCAAGCTCTGCTTCCGCAGTGAAGGAGCCCAGGTTCCCATGTGGGCCAGGGGCACAGAGCAGTGGAAAGGGCATTTATCCTGGAGGGTGGAGCCCTGGGTCCACATCCCTGCTCTTCTCCGGCTGAGAGGTGCTAGGGGAGGCCGTGGGATGTCATGCCCAAGAGCCTGACCGACGGGGTTGGAATCACACCTCCACCACCTCTAGCTGTGTGACCTTGGGCAAGTCCCAGACTGTTCTAATCCTCAGTTTCCTCATCCATCAAGCAGGGGTAGATTATAGGAGCTCACGGGTGTACAGCTCTCAGCATAGCTATTGGCACATGGAAGAGCTACTATAATTATTGGGGACCCCCTTTGATCCAGGGTTCTTGGACTGCTCATCTATCAGATAAGAGTTGCTCGACCTTGGCGCTATTGACATTGGGACTGGATGATTCTGTTGTAGGGGCTGTCCTGTGCATTCTAGGATGTTTAGTAGCATCCCTGGCCTCAGCCGACCCAGTTTCAAAGTTTCTGTTACACTCTGAAATTCCCTGGTTTACTTTAGAAACACCAGATTCTTCTCCATGGTCTGAATCATTGCAAAATAACTTGTAGGTATTCCTTCCCTGTAAAATAATCTCCCTAGTCTAGGGTCCCCAAATGCCTCCGGCTGCTCACAGTGAGCACTGGACCTGGAGGATGATGACGGTGTCTTCAATGATGCAAGAGCTATAGCAGGACCCAACCCTGAGCATCCTGGAACCTCCCTGAAATGTTCCCCATGACACTTCTTTGGAGCCTCCCATCTTCCTCCTGGAATACACATGGCCACCAGCCCGTTGTCTTTGTGCCCCACTCTACTCTACATCCTGCTGCAGTCCCCATCTCAGACTCTGCCAAAAGGACCCCTGTGCCCAGCATTCACTGCTTGTCCGCATCTCCCTAAACATCCTTTCCCACCCCACCATCTCCTGCAGTGCTGAGCTCTTTGCACCTTCCATCCGCTGTGCCTTTGCCAATGCTGTCCCTTCTGCCTGTAGAGCCTTCTCTCCACCCCTCTCCTCCCTCCAGGTCTAGCTCTGAGGTTGTCTCTTCCTGAGGTTCTCCCAGATTCCTACATCAGAACAGCTCTGCCTGCCCCAGGCACCGGAGCCAACCCTGAGCTCACCACTCCGCTGGAACACATGTCTGCCCAGCGTGGCATCCAGTTTATTTATGAGGCTGTCTGTCTGCCCCCAGTCTCAGGAGCCCCAGGGCAGGGCCCTGTGTGATTCGTTGCCAGGCACAGGGTCTGGCTGGCATCAGGGAGCGTGTGTTGAGCAGTACCAGTGAGAGCTGTCTCTGGGAGGAGGCATCGCAGGGCTGGCTGGCATGGAGCACAGGCCCAGGGCTGCGGGGTGGCAGGCCAATGCTAGTGCTGCTGGAGAAGGCTGAGGGCTCTCCTTCCCAGGCTCCCTCCTCCTCCCCTCAGTCACTGACTCATTCACTCAGCAACTTCTCTCGCTCATTCATGCATCTGTGTGCTCCTTCACAGACTCATTCACTAACAGGGGAGCTCATCCATTCATGCACTTTTACATTTGTTCATTCATTCATTCATTCATCCATTCATTCATGCATTCATTGATTCATTCATTTCTTCACTTACTCCTCTATTCATCCAATAAACTTTCCTGAGTTCTGATATTACATCCCGTCCTGCCCTCTATAGAAGCCCTGGAGACCCAGCGCTAAAGACCTTTTCTTCCAGAGTGGTGGTGATGGGGGGTACAGACATATAAATGAACAACTGCAGTCAGAGTGAGAGGGACTATGATTGAGGAATACGTGATGTGACAGCAGAGGAATCTACACAGGCTTCGTGGAGGAGGTGGCATTTCATAGGGCCTTGGAGACAAAGAAGTCCCAAGCAAGGCCTGGAGAGGCTGGGCTCTGAGCTCCAGGATGGGGAGGAGGTGGTTTCTAGAGGACTTAAAGACTGCTTGGCTGGGTGCCTGGGGAGAGAGAGGGAGGGACGAGAGTCGTGTTCAGCCCTCATCCTCCATCCAGAAATACCGAGTGCACAAATACATATTCAGTACCTGCTGTGTGCCCGAGAGGCTGGGGACACAAGAACAACACGGACAAAGCCCTGCCTTCAAAGAGCTTACATTTGCATGTGGGGAGGCAGAAAACTGAGATAACTAATAAAGTATGTAATGTCAGATGGTGCTAAGTGCTTAAGAGCCGGAGAGGAGGGGATGGCTTGTTAAGTAGCTTGTTCGTGGAGGGCCTCCTGACAAGGCAATGCTTATGAGCAATGCAGTGTCTGGTGAGGGTGTCCAAGGAGTTTCCTGCTGGGAATGTCTCCTGCTTGCCAATTCAATATCATACCAGCAGCCGGCATTGGGCTGAGCAGGGAGCAGCTGTGCAAGCCACGTCAGTCCTGGCTGTGTTTTCCTCCGGGTCTCTGTCTGCCCAGTCCACTGGGCTGAGTCTTCATCTCCGAACCCTCATGCTCAGCACAGGGCCCGGCATGTCCTGGCCCCTGAGGACCAGGAAGCAACACAGGGGTCAAGATGGGACTGTAGCCCCTGAGCAGTTGCTGCCCATCCGGGCAGGTGTCAGGGTTGGATGGGGAGGCTCAGGGGGTCCAGAGGGTTCTGGGTGCCCTGGGGAATGGGGCATCTTGCAGTAGGAGTCCAGCCCTTCACCGGGGAGGGGGAGCATGGGGGAAACAGGGTAAAATAGTCAGCCCTGCTTTTCAGGCCTTGTCTTCCAGACCCATCCCTGCTCCCAGAAAGAGCAGCAGGGGCAGCCCTGAGGGCCCCCATTCCAGTCTTTCTGAAAGCGGAGGTTCTGGAAGTGGGGCCTTTGAGGTACCCTCTGAGGATCACACTAAGGCTTTTTCTGCTCCTGGAACCAGTGGCTCTGGAGAGGGACAGAGTCCAGGGACCAGCCTGGAACTAGGCCTGGGGAGGAAAGGGAGCTCGGCAGGGGTGAGCAGGTCCTATGGAGTCCCTCTCTCCCTAGCCCTTAACATCTTTCTTCCTCCCCGTCCCCAGCTCTAAGCCCACCTTCTCCAGCTCTTCCCTGTGCGTGTGGGTCTGCCCTGGGCTTTCTCTTGGTTAGTGGCTGAGGCTCCTTCCACCCGCTTGGGGGCTCCTGGGCTCACCTAGCCTGGGGGACTGTCAGAGACAGTCCTGCCTACACTGCTTAGGACAAATCTGAGAATAGAATCCTGAAGCCATGGCCTTAGGGAGAGATGGGGACCCTGGGGCACAGCAGAACGCACAGGGGCTCTGGGGTCTGGGGTGTGACCTCTGGTCCCCAGTGCCTGCAGACCTCTCCAGAGATGCTAAGGGGCCTCAGCTCTGACCAAGGAGAGCACAGGGTACTGGAGGGGGTAGCACCACTCCTGCAGGAGGAGTGTGAGCAGAGGTTGGAAATTTGTGAGGACACTCAGACTTCAGATAGGTGGGGTGCCTTCTGCCCCAGACTCCGGGATGGGAGAGGAGGAGGATCCAGGCCTTGGTCCCTAGAGCCACAGCTCTGCCTTAGCCCCCAGGAAACAACACTGAAGTCCTACAAATCTCCATGTGGCAAAGCTTTTGTTGAGGCTTTCCTGTGTCAGAGAACATTTACTCTTTTGGACCAGCTAGGATCAGGCCATTGTAAATTGTTGAAAATCTATGTCTACATTTTAAAGAAGTATTGTTGCTTCTTGAGTCATTTCTTTGTCTCATAGCTAGACTTCCTGCAGAGCAAACACTAAGGAACTCAGGATGTCTTGGATTACTTTTTAATCCTTAGGATTTTAAATTACAAATGTAATTAAAACTTACACTAAACATTCAAACATTTCAGTCATACACAACCTAGAAGGGGAAATCTCTACCCCTGCTGCCCCACAAATTCTCTTCCCCAGAGATGACCACTGTTAACAGCTTAGAAGTTTCCCCAGATTTCTGTCTGAATATTAGTGTTATGTGGATAATTGCTCTGACATAGCAATGCACATTTCCTCCCATAGTTCTTGTATGAGATTTTCCTCCTGTTCAGCCAGAAGCATCCATTTGCTTCAGAGAGGATTAAAATAGATAGACAGTGATATAAAGAGGACTAAAGAACAAGGCTTAGTTAAAAATAGGATTCAAAAGAGAATCTCGAAGTCCATACGAGACAAAAGTCTTGAAAGCTGGCTTTGTTGATTAACATTTTGGTTAGGATGCTTTGGCTGCAGGTAACAGTAAGTACAACACAAACTTGATAAACAATGAGATACCTTGACTCAGGTCCCCAGACTTCAGAGACAGACTCTGGCTTCAGAGCTGGCTTCATCCAGTGACGCTGGCCCATCTCTCTAAAGTTCCCTTGGTGTACCTTGCTCTGTCTAATGGCTTAATCTGTGGGATGGCATCCCTCAGAATTACCACGTGACTGCACAATACAATGATTCTGAGGAAGGGGGAGCATGTCTGTTCTTAAGAGCAAGAAAACGCTTTCCCCCAGGCTCCCAGCAACTCTCCCCCTGCATCATGGCTAGGGTCACATGCTCATTCCTGGGGCCAAGAGTGTGCCCTGCATTAGGGCTTAGGCCTGAGTTTCTGGACCAATCACCATGGCAGATGGGGTGGGATTTCATGGCACCAGTTAGAGCTACCCTGGAACTGAAGTTGGGGTCAGCTTTCCATGAAGCTCATTGGTGATGTGAGGATGGGCTGGATTCCAGATTAAAAACTGGGGCATATTCAAGAAGAAGGAGAGGGAAATCGAAGAAGGTAGAGAATCAACGTCATCTACTGCAAGAGAGAGAAAACAGATTTCTCTGTTCCCAAAGCTTCCCTGTAGATATTCACAGCAAATCTTGGAGGACAGGACTTGGAATTTTACCCTAAGCCACAGGTAGAGAGAATTTAGGATGTGATGTAAGGGAAGTCCCTACCAGCTCAGGAGGAAGTAGGGAGTCCTTCCACTTCTCAGAGGAGCCACCAAGGAGTTGGAAAAACAGATACAAATGAGGTAAAAGTGATGTAAAGCAGCTGCCTGAAGACCCAGTGCCCCATCCTTGCCTCTGAGCCCCAGTCAGGGGAGGGATTGTGGGAAGATAGCCCAGATGGAGGCTTCTGCCCATTTCTACAACTCTAGAACTCCGTAGGGTGCTGTCTGGAAGGATGCTTGGCCCATGCCCACAGGAGACTAGAAAGGGTAGCATGGGGTGTGTATCCATTTCCTGAGGGCTGCCGTGATGAATGACTAAGCCTTGGTGGTCTGAGACCCAGGCGTCAGCAGGGCTGTACTCTCTTCGAAGGCTCTGGAGGACAGTCTGTTCCCTGCCTCTTCCAGCTCCCCTGGCTGTCCTGCGGCTGCATCATGACTCCAGTCTCTGCTGCCATCTTCTCATGGCCTTCTCCTCTATCTCTGAGTCGTCACCTCCTCTGTGCCAAGTCTCCCTCTGACTTTCTCTTCTAAGGGCACTTTTCATTGGATTTAGGGCTCACTTGGATAATCCAAAATGAATTCCTCTTGAGAGCCTTCATTATATGGGCAGAGATCCTTTTTCCAAATCACATTCACCAGTTCTGGGAGTTAGGATGTGAACATATATTTTTGTGGCCAACATTCAACCTCCTATGGGGTATTTAGGCAGAGAGAAGACCACATATAGTGCCCCTAGACTAGCTTGTCTCCTGTGTGGTGTGGGAGGGATACCCCGAGGTCCAGTGTCTTGACAATGGGAGGACACAGAAGGCCACTGAGAGCTCTGGTGGGCTGCTTGTCTGTCAGGACCCTGGCGGGCGCAAAATGACCCTGAAGTCCCAGCCAGATCACAAAGGATTTGCCCTTGTGGATCCTGATCAGGCCAGCTGTGCTGGAGCTCTCACTAGTCAGAACAGACCCCAGGTTCCACTTGCTGCACTGGTAACAGCAGCTAGGACAGAAACCGACAGGATGAGATGCTCCAACAGGAGGGTGACTTGAGGCCTGGAGGCCCTTGCCCTGATGCCATGAGGACACTGAAGTTTCCAGCTTACAGACCTCATCTTAGGAGTGGGACTCCTTGTGAGGGGTAAGCAGCTGTGATGGGAACTGAAGTTTACATCAACTGAATTCCGCAAAGAGAATGAGTTATCTTTCATAGGTCAGTTATTTAAAAAAATTTTTTTTTGAGACTGGGTTTTGCTCTAGCATCCAGGCTGAAGTGCAGTGGTGTGACCTCAGCTCACTACAGCCTCAAGCTTCTGGGCTCAAGCGATCCTCCAGCCTCAGGCCCCTGAGTAGCTGGGACTATGGATCCAATGCATGCCACTATGCCTGGCTAAACTGCTTTTTTTTTTTTTTTTTCTTTTTTTTTCAGATGGAGTCTCGCTCTGTCGCCAGGCTGGAGTGCAGTGGCGTGGATCTCGGCTCACTGCAACCTCTGCTTCCTGGTTCAAGCAATTCTTCTGCTTCAGCCTCCCAAGTAGCTGGGACTACAGGCATGCGCCACCACACCTAGCTAATTTTTGTGTTTTTAGTAGAGACGAGGTTTCACCATGTTGGTCAGGATGATCTCTATCTCTTGACCTCGTGATCCGCCTGCCTTGGCCTTACAGAGTGCTGGGATTACAGACATTAGCCACCATGCCCAGCCTTGTTTTTGCATATTTTGTAGAGACAGGTCTTGCTGTGTTGCCCAGGTTCGTCTTGGAGCTCCACTCCAAGGTGGAGCTCAAGCAATCCACCTGCCTCAGCCTCCCAAAGTGCTGGGATTGAAAATGTGAGCCATGGTGCCCAGCCTTCATGGGCAAGTTTTTTTTTTTTCCTTTTCTTCCAAGTATACAAATAGTAAGTCTTCTGCAAATAATAGGGCCTCCAGGTTTTACTTGCAAAAAGAGGCCCATGCTATACACATCATTCTGCAAACTGAATACACTTCACACATTACAGACATATTTCTATGACAGCATATTGCTACTTTATTTTTTAAAATCCACATACTATAATTTGTTTAACCAGACCCTTATTATTGTTATTTTTTTAGAAGTGGGGTCTCACTGTCTTGCCCAGGCTGGAGTGCAGTGGCACAATCATAGTTTACTGCAACCTAGGACTCCTGGACTCAAGCAATCCTTCTACCTCAGCCTCCTGCATAGCTAGGACTACCGGTGTGCACTTCCATGCTCAACTAATTAAAATAAGCTTTTTTTTTTTTTTATTCATAGAGGTGGGGTCTCACTATGTTGCCCAGGTAGTCTCCAACTCCTGGGCTTAAGCCATCCTTCTGCCTCATCTTCCCAAAGTGCTGAGATTACAGGCATGAGCTGTCACATCTAGCCAACTAAACCTTTATTTGATGAACATTCAGGTTATTTGTTGAATTTAATTGAATTAACAAGTGAATCAGTTAAACAATGTGCAACAATGCCTATTTATGCTGAGGTAGCAAAAATGAAATATTTCTTTCCCTCTCTTCTAAATCTATATATCTCTGACTCCACATTTCAGCAAGTGAAAAAGTAATTAAATGACCCCAGAATTGTTGGACAGAAAAATGCATCACAGCCCTCTCCACCTTCCAAAACACTCCAGAAAGTGAGGTTGAGGGTAGCTTGCCAAGACTTGGCCCTTCTGGTGTGAGTGACATTCTGGACTCTTGAACATAAACTGCTGGCAGCGTTAGCTCGCTTAGCATTAGCCAATTGTCACTTCTCAAAGAAGGGCAGCAGGATGTGGATCTTTGCCTCATTACAACATTCCAGTTGCAGTGGCCCTTTTAAAAGGAATTCCCTGCAATCTTGTGTATCTCTGGGATATGAAGGTGCAGACAGGGCTTGGCTGCGTTCTCACCTACTGTTTCAATCAGCACCCTTTAGACTGCAAGTGACAGAAACTCTGATCAAACATAAACAGAGCAGGATATACACTGGCTTATGTAAACAAGAAGTCCAAGGACTTTCAGTCATGGCCGCATCTGGGTATTTAATTGATGTCATTACAACTCTTTCTTTCCATCTCTCATTTGTGCCTGCCTGTTTTTGACTTTTTTTTTTTTTTTTTCTGGGCAGATTTTCTTCTTGTAATGCACGATGTCCACCAGCTGCTACAAACTCGTCCTTACAGCTCACACTCTCAAGAGAAAAATTTCTAGAGGGCACTAGAAAAAGTCCCAGGTAAGACTCCTATTGGCCTGGCTTGGGTCATGTGTTTATCCTTGAGCCAATAACTGTGCCCAGGGGATGGGTGCTCCAATGGCCAGGCATGGCTCCCCTGCCTGGCTGTGTGGGAAGGCTGCCGCACTGAGCCACATACATGAACAGAGTAGGATTTTTGTTTGTTTGTTTTTCTTTTTGTTTTTTTAGGCAGGGTCTCACTCTGTCACCCATGCTGGAGTGCAGTGGTGGGATCACAGCTCACTGCAGCCTCAATCTCCAGGGCTCAGGGGATCCTCCTGCCTCAGCCTCCCAAGTAGCTGGGACCACAGGCCTGTACCACCATGCCCAGCTATTTTATTTTTTATTTGTAGAGATGGGGGTATCCCTGTGTTGCCCAGGCTGGTCTCGAGCTCCTGGATTCAAGTAACCCTTCTGCCTTGGCCTCCCAAAGTGTTGGGATTACAGGCATGAGCCACCACAACTGGCCCAGAGCAGGATTAATGGGGGAGGGAGACATGGCTTGTCAAAGAAACCAGGTGACCACTGTGCCCATCCTCCGTCAGGTTCCATCAGGACCACACCTCTGTTTATGGAGAAGATGCTTGTTGTTTGGATATAGAGTTGGATATGGCTTGGCTCCAAACCCATAGCTACCCAGAGTAGTTGGACCCTGCTCAGACCTGTCTTAAGTTCCCACTTCCCAATCTCCCTCAGGCCAAAACAGTGGTGGTAGTGGGGGTGAAGGTGGCCCCTCCAAGCCCACACTCCTGGGTCCAGCTGTTCCCCCACCCTCAGCCTTCCCTGTGCAGTCTCTGCAGATCGCACCAACAGAGGTAACTTCCTAACCTGCTAGAAGACCCCAGAGGAGAAGCACAGTCTGAATTCAGGAGGCTGAGGTTGGACACCAAGTGGCTGCTTTTTGGTGTTTTAGGATACCCTCTACCTTGGTTCAGTCCTTTATACAAGCCCAACCCTTGAGGTCAGCCCCTGACCCCCCTGACATCTAGGCTGTGGTCTGGCCTCTGAGGGAGACAGGAGCATCTGCCACCATTCGCCCTCGGGCCTGGGCAGGGGCCTAGTTTGGATCATCTGCTGGGGAGATATCTGTGTCTCCTGGGTACAGAAGACCTTCTTGGACTTGGGGGTGTTTGCTGTATCAGGAGCTGAAGTGGGGACAGTCAGAGGCAGGGGAGCAGGAGGGTGTCCCGGGAAGACAACATTCTGGGATGGTCTTAGGGATAGGCTAGCTTGGGCTTCTGAGCAGCTAGGTACATAGATGGGGAACCCTCTTCAGAGCCTATCAAGAGACCCCCTCCCCATCTGATCTTCACGGTGGGGCTCTGCTGATTCCCACCTGATCTCCAATCTTTCCCCTTCCCTACGTAGCTGCAGGCTGGACACAGTGCTTCCTCCATCCGGGCCTTTGTCATGCTCTTCCCCTGCTGCAGTGCTGTCAGCTGCCTGGTCCATCAATATTCACTCTTCAAAGTCTAGCTCCGCTGGATAAGCCACTTCATGACAGTCAGAATCTGATGTGGAATGATGAAAACACCGTAGCACTGTGCTCCTTCCAACTGCCAGGACCTGCAGCGCTGGGCCCGAGGGTGTCTGGGGAGGCTGCACTGCCGCAAAGGCCTGGGAGTTAACACCTCTCTCCCCAGACCATGCACAGATACCTTGAAATTGACCTCAATCCATGAGCAACAAGAACTGGTGCATGATAATCCAGCTCCCACACTCATGGGTCGGAGAGCTCTAAGGTGTGTGGTTTGCAGTTTCCCAGAGGCTCCCTGTGGGATTAAGCTCCAGATGGCCAAGGTGACCACTTGCTTGTTAACACACTGGCCTCCTCCTTTTCCTTGTTTCACTTCCTCATTTCCCTCTAGGTTTCCCTAGGATCACCAGCTGTCATGGACTGATTTATGTCTCTCCAAATTCATATGTTGAAGCCTTAACCTCCCATGTGATTGTGTTTGGAGATAATTACTTTAGGGAAGCAATGAAGGTTAAATGAGGTCATAAGTGGGAGCTTAATCCAATGGGACTGGGGTCCCTACAAGAAGAGGAAGACACTAGAGCTCTCTGCCTCCACACACAGAGAAAAGAGGCTGTATGAAGACACAAGAGAAGGTAACAGCTGTCTACAAACCAAGAAGAGAAGCCTCTCCAGAAAATGAACCCCGCTGGAACTTGATCTTGGACTTTCCAGCCTCCAGAACTGGGAGAAAATAAAGTTCTGTGTGTGAGCCCCCCAGTCCGTGGTATTTTGTTATGGCAGCCCTAGCAGACTAATAACACTTGCCAATTAAACTACTCGTTCTCCGATTGTTGTCTCAGGGTCTGCTCCTAGGGAACCTGGACTAAGACAGATGCTCTGCTTCTTTAGGCCCTAGGGAAATGCAAATGAAAACCACACATGATGCCATGTCACAGGTACTAGGATAACCGGAAGGAAATCTGACCACATCGGATGCTGGTGAAGTTGGGAAGCCGTCATGTACAGCTGATGGAGGTATGAGTTGGCAAACCACTTTGGAAAACTGTTTGTCAGTATGAAATAAAGCTAAAGCTATGTAAACTCTATGACCTAGCAACTTCGCTAATAGGTATACTTCAGCAGAAATACATACAGATGTTCACCAAACGACAGGTGCAAAAATATTCAAAGTAGCACTCTTTGGGGTAACTCCAAATTAGAAGCAGCCCAACTTCCATTAGCAGAATAGATCAACAAATTTTGGTATAGTCACACAATGAAACACTATACAACAATGAAAAAGGAGAAACTTCTGCTACCTGCTAGGACACAGATGAATCTCAGAAATACAGTGTTATGCAAAAGAAGCCAGATGCAAATGAGTGCATACCGGAAGACTCAATTTATGTAAAGTGCAAAAGCATAAGATTCATACAAAAGAGGGTACAAAACATTAACGTACAGCCCAGTGAAATTTCACAGGCTGAAAACACCCACGTAGCTTGCATCTAGGACAAGAAACAGGATATAGTCACAACTCCAGAAGGCCCTCCTGCCTTCCTTTCCTGTCACTGACTCCCCAGGGACATCACCGTCCTGACTTCTAACACCGTAGATTAGTTTTGCCTGTATTAAAATTGTATAGAAGGGGAATAGTATGGTATGTGCTATTTCGTTTTCTACTTCTCATTTGAGAGATCATCCACATGGCATTCTGCAGTTGTAGTTTAATTTATATAGTCATTCTACTATTGCTGGGCTTTTGAGTCATTTCCATTTGGGCTACCATAAATCATGCTACTATGAACATTCTAGTACACATTGTTTTGGTGAACATGTCTAGGCATTACTTTTCAGTATATACCTATAAGTGAAATAGCTGGTCCATTGTTGGCTTTGATTTCATTTTTCACCTACCCTTCTTTCCATCCCCACCCTTTTTGCTTTCCTGGTCCCCACTTAGGGGAATCAAGGAGGTCTCTGATTCCCCTTCCAGGTTGAAGTCAGAGAGCCTCAGTTTCCCCCTCTGGCTAAGGCATGCCTGCTTACTCCAGGTGCTGTGAGGCTCCAGGACCTTCCTGAGGTAGCAGGATCAGCTTGTAGTCTCTTTGACGTCGTGGTCCAGTTCCTGACATACCTGAGGCCAAAGGTGTCCCAGAGCAGGGCTGATAACGGCAGGTGCAGCCCCAGCTGCTCCATGGGCTAGGTGCAGGGAGAAGGGCAGTGGGTGAGCCTCGGGTCAGGGCCAGGCCAGGCAGGGGAAAGGCTGGAATGGACAGGCCTTGAGCCAGGCTAGGTGGTGGCTGGGGCTGAGAGGCCCAGGGTTTCCTGGGTGGGAGCTGGATGGGTCTGGGAACTCTGTATCTATCCAAGCACAGCCTGGCTTCCTCAGTGCCTGCCTGCTCTTCTCTGGGCCTTCTTCTGTCAGTTGGGAATCAGAGTTGCTTCCTTGCCTGAGTGAGGATTAAAGGAGATTGTAGATGCTTACTTGGGGTTAGCAAGGCACTGCCTGTACAGTTCACCACCAAGGAAGCTGGAGCTCAGAGAGGTTAAGGGGCTCCTCTGAGTTACACAGAATTTGAACCCAACTGCATCTGGCTGTGGTCTAAAGACTGCAGTCTTCTAACTTCCTGAGGCTGCCCTGGGGCTGACGTAGCATGATTTGTCTAGTGACATAGTCTAAGGAAAGTCAACTCCCAAAGTCAAGCTGTGTCTTTCCCAATGCTTGAGTTTCCACCATGAAAGCTTCATTCCTCTGGGTTAATGAATGCCCTCTTCCAAAAGCATATAGGGATGAGGGGCAATATCTCTCATCCAAGTACCAACCAGGCTGGACCCTGCTTAGCTTCCGAGAATGGATGAGATCAGGCATGTTCGGGGGGGTATGGTGGTAGATGTGGGGTAAGATCTAATGTGGCATGTGCAGATGACTCAGGTGGAACTGAGGAAAGTGAGCTCTTGAAGAGGTGCTGAGATCACTTCATTCACTTTCTCATCCCAGCCTGGGCCCTGTACCCAGAGCAGGGCACTGAGTTGCTCATACTCACATCCAAGGTCTTACCCCAGGCGGTCTCCCTGCGCTCCCTGGAGGCACCCAGGCCAAAGAGGGCTGAGCCAGAGAAGGCTTGCTGAAACCCGGGATTTTTCAGGTGGGGTCCGCCCTGGACCTACAGGGCGTAGGTGCCTGGGGCGCCCTTCTGGAGAAAGGAGGGAGGCCTAGGTGCGGTCTCCAGCCTGAGATAAGCCCTGCCTCCCATTGGCTGCCTGGCTCATGCCCACAGCTCATGCCCATGCTCTCTCTCCCTTGCAGCACCACACCCCAAGCTGACTCTCTGCACAGCCCGGGGCTGCAGCTGGGCTGGCCTCCCTCCTGCCAGCACTCCTCAGGATTGCGCCGGACCTCCACTGAGGTGCTTCAGACCCTAACCAAGTTCCCTGTCCTCTCTGAGACGGGGCCCTTTTGGACCAAGGTTTTCTTGGCTGCTCAGGCACCCATAGTCTCTGCACCTGCTGCTGCTCTGTATTGGGTTGGGGTCACTGGAAACAGACCAGAACTAGAATTTGAGGGCAAGGAGTTCATTTGAGAGGTGATTCCAGGAAGCCACGAGGGATGTGGGAAGTGAGACAGGGAAAGAAGCCAGTACAGGCAAATTCATGAGCAGCTGGCAGGCAACCGGGGCCCTGCCCTCTTGGGACGTCTGGGAGACAGGAGACAGTGCAGAGCAAGGCTCAGAGCTGTCCATTCTGGGGAGGGAGGAAGCTGGGGCATTTATCCACCAACCCAGATCATTTATCCATCACCAAGGGCGGTTCGTGAGCCCACGAACTCTGACCTCTGAGAGCTTTCAACAGTCCCTAGGGCAGAATCACAGATACCTGCTTAGTGCCAAGGGGATGTGGGTGAGGCTCTGTAAAGGAGAGGGAGAGCCTGCAGCAGAGAGAACCTGAAGAAGGCCTTGGAGAGCTTGAATCTCAGGCAGCTGCTGACTCATCTTCTCTGAGGGTCAGTTTCTAGAAAATGGGAGTGAAATACTGCTTTCCTGCAGGTGTCAGGTGAGAACCAAAAGCGATAAGGCCTGTAAACAGCCTGGGTGCTGCCTGCACGGGAGGAGGTTGATAAATGATACTCTGTCTGCCCTCCTCCGGGGCAAGGGCCAGGCTGACTCACCCGGTCTGGGGGCACCCAGTGACCTGCTGTTTGTACCAAACATTGCCTCCCACAGAGTCCTCACCCTCCCTTCTTTTCCCTCTTTATCTCTCATTTTAAAAAATCTAATAGTGACTGCTATCTAAGGCTTGCCAGGCTGGAGTGGGCTGTGGAGACCCAGGAGTGCCCTGAGCCTGTCCTTGCCCTCGAGAGTTCACAGTCCAGTTGGGAAGTTAGACGAGTATGTGGCCAGCTGGTGACATGGGTGTGGGCTTGACAGGTGAGTAGATGTGTGGTAGGGGCAAGGAGGCAGTGAAGGCAGGGGCGGGGTGGGTAGAGATGGTTCCGGGGACAGAGGGAGGTGAGCAGAGGAAGTGGGCAGATGGTGGCTCTTGTGTTTTGAGCCCCCGTGCAACGGAAATCCCAGATACTACAGGTGAGGCAGCAGCCAAGCCTGGCCCAGTTGCTACCAGAGCAGGGCTGGCCTGCAGCCTCCTGATTCCCAGCCAGGTTTGCCTGATACATCCCTCTCCCACCCTCCCTTGGGCCACAGGAGGTGAGGATGGAGCTAGGGGCTGGGCAACCCAGGAAACTGAGGCCGGGCTTTCTGCCCTGGCTCCTCCCTCCTCTTCCCTGCCTAACCCCTGCATGAGCCTATCCAGCACGGTTCTCCCAGATGCCCTGGAGATTGGGGTGGGAAATCCTCCACTTTCATGCTTTTTATTCAAATGCCATCTGAATTTTGCGTCTATGATACAGAGATGTTTGTTTTTAAAAGAAATAACAGTTATAATGCCTTACTAATTACTAAAATATTTAATCTACATGTAAATAAAACAAGACTTCAGAATTTATACAGTGGTGTTGTTCCTCAGGGTGAGTAGAGGTCCAGGCCAGGGGCAGATGGGAGCCGGAGGAGCTGTCCTGTCTCACAGACCCTGAGGTGGCCTCTCGGGGGCGTCCCTCACTCACCTATGCAAATGCATGCTTGTGTGTTGTGTGTATTCACATCTGCTGAGAGCCATACATAGTTAGGTCCACACGTGTACTCAAGCACCTCTGGATCCACGTGCTTGGGTGCACGCCCCAATGCACACCCCAATCTACACTTATATGTACGTCATGCATGTGCCCTTACACATACTCAGACACCCTCCCTGGTATGTGTGTGTGTGTCACTCACGTGCACCCACACACTGGCAATCATAGCCTTTCATGCACATCCCACAGGTGCGCATGCATCCTCATCCATGCACACACATTTGTGCAGCCACAATCAGGCAAAGACACGCACATTGATGACACTCACATGTACATGTCAATACGGACACACGTATACATACAACAGGAGCATACACATATGTGGGTTGTGCATGAGTACCCATCACATGAGACACAAACCCACATGCCTGTAGACATGCAAAAAGATCCCCAGCTGCACGTACAGGAACTCATTTTACACACAGGCCACTCCTATGTGCAAGTGTGCTCACACATGAATGGCTCGTATGTGCACACGTACGATCTCATATTAGCCAGTTGGGACACCAGCTTACAAAGTGGTAGGGAAGGAGCTTCAGATTTCAAGCCCTGAGGGGGCAGGGGTGTACTCACTTCCTTTGCCCTCTCTGCCTCTCCCCTGCCCTCTTCTGCCACCTCCCAGGAGGAGCCCTCCTCCCACTCTGAGAGTAATTATTGTGTGTGGCATGTGAGGAGCCTTTAGAGGGACAGATTCTGCACCTACTCCCTAGAAGGAATGTCCCCATTGAGGGTGGGACAGCTGAGGTGGGAACCTGGAGCCCAGAGGGCACAGGGGCCTGCCTGGGTCTACACAGCAAGGCCTAGGCAGAGGCGAGACTGAATTCCAGCCTTCTGCAACAAGCCAGTTTGGACCACAGGCTGAGAGGCAACCAGGACACTCCATGCTCCCTGCCTTGAAAACACCTGCAGGCTCAGATGCCCACAGTCCCCTCATTGCACATGCTCTCAGATGAAGATGTTGTCCCCAAAAGGCCCCTGTTAAAAGGCATGTTTATAATGAGAGGTGGGGTCAGCTGAGAAGGATGACAGGCCAGTCCCTCCTCCACGCTCAAGCTGCCCCGGAGGGAAGGGCTGAGAGATGGATGGGCTGAGCACTAACAGCCATAGAGGGACAGACCTGCAGCCAAGCAGATCCTAGATACCAGCGCTGGAAGACTAGAGGGATAGTGGGATCCTCTGTACCCACTCAGGATGGAATGGACCCCACGCCCCTCACTCCCTCCAACCAGAATCCAACCAGGTTCATCTTTTACACATCAGATTCCATGTTAATAAATGCTTTCCTCCTTAGATCAACAAATAAGAGATTGATAAAACCCAGTGCCGGAAAGGCTGAAAGAAAATGGGCGTTTAGGTCCAAGTGGCGATAGGAGTGCAAACAAGAGCCCCATTTTTGGCAGGACATTTAATATGTGGTGTCTTCTGACCCAGTGATTTACCTCTAACAATCTGTCCTTTCTGGACAAAGATGTATAAACAAGTGTTTACCGCAGCATGTTTGTAAAAACAGTAAATGAAGTCCATCCAAATTGCATCAGTAGGCAAATAGTTAAATAAACAACAGTTTGTGTGTGCTGTGGCCCACCATCGAGCTATTGAAACAAATGCTGAGATGTAGCCGTATGTACCAGGCCAGAACGAGTTCTGTGGTGTGAAGAAAGCAGGTCACAGAAGTGTAAGATTTATGTTTCCATTTATTATTTTAAAACACCTCTAAAAAGTTAGATATAAAATACATATCTGAATCCACAGAAAAGGGCTACATATTCCACTTTTGGGCTGACAAAGCAGGGAGACTTTCTTTTTTGCTGAGACTGAGTTTCACTCTCGTTGCCCAGGTTGGAGTTCGGTGGCGCAATCTGGGCTCACTGTAACCTCCGCCTCCTGAGTTCAAGGGATTCCCCGCCTCAGCCTCCTGAGTAGCTGGGACTACAGGCATGTGCCACCACGCCCGGCTAATTTTTTTTTGTATTTTTAGTTTCACTATGTTGGCCAGGCTGGTCTCGAACTCCTGACCTTGTGATCTGCCCGCCTTGGCCTCCCAAAGTGCTGGGATTACAGGAGTGAGCCGCTGCGCCCAGCTGAGACTTTCTTTTTAACCCAGATATTCCTATATTCTTTGCATTATTTTATTTTATTTTATTTTATTTTATTTTATTTATTTATTTTTTTTTTGAGACGGAGTCTCGCTCTGTCGCCCAGGCTGGAGTGTAGTGGCCGGATCTCAGCTCACTGCAAGCTCCGCCTCCCAGGTTTACGCCATTCTCCTGCCTCAGCCTCCCGAGTAGCTGGGACTACAGGCGCCCGCCACCTCGCCTGGCTAGTTTTTTGTATTTTTTAGTAGAGACGGGGTTTCACTGTGTTAGCCAGGATGGTTTTGATCTCCTGACCTCGTGATCCGCCTGTGTTGGCCTCCCAAAGTGCTGGGATTACAGGCTTGAGCCACCGCGCCCGGCCTCTTTGCATAATTTTAGCAGCAGCTTTTGTTCATATACTATATTACCTTTATCATTAAATAGAAAGTATTAAGCTTTCTCATTCCATTATTTAATTGATGGAGGCCCAGAGGAGGCAGAGACCTGCCCAAGATCATGCTTTGGGTTGTGCTGACTAGGACTGCAGCTCAGATCTTGACCTCACCCAAAGATCTTCCTCTGCTGTCCGGTGGCAGGGCGTTGGGGCCCAGAAAGGAGCAGCCACGGCTTCCTAGGTAGGAATTGGTGGAGGGATGAGGTCTGGGAAGCAGGTCAATGATGCTCAGTGGAGGGAACAGGCCCACTTCGGTGTGAACGGATGTCTCCTTCCTAAGAGAATCACCTATGTGCTAAGACAGCAATTCTTTATCACTTTTCCTGACATCCTTGTCCTGGCTTAGGGTCCTGCCTGGCAGCCTCTGGCTCTGCCACTTGTAGAAATGCTGTGGAGAAGTGCCATACTTTGCTAAGTGCCCACCGAGTACCTCCTTTTGTGCTGACCTCCATACGCTGTGTTACTTTGACTGAGGAGGCAGTATGGTACCGTGGTTAAGGCCACAATCTCCAGAGCCAGACTCCTGGGGCAAATCTCACCACTGCTACTCACTAATGCACTGCTACTCACTAGCTAACTGACCTTAGTGAGTTACTCCAGATCTCCAGATCTCAGTCTTTTGTCTATAGGACACTAATAGAACCTCCTATAGGGTCATTGAGGTTTCAAGTAGAAAGAACCTAGATGTCTATTAATGGATGAATGAATAAAAACTATGATCTAGTGCTAAAATGAAATATTATTCAGTCATAAAAAGGAATGGAGTACTGATACATGCTACAACATGGATAAACCTTGAAAGTGTTATGGTATGTGAGAGACAGGCACAAAAGGCCACATCAGGTATGATTTCATTTCTATGAAATGTCCAGAATCGGCAAATTTATAGAGGTAGAAGTAGATTAGTGGTTGCCTAGGGCTTGGGAGTGGGGTAGTAGGAGTGACTGCTAAGGGGTAAGGGATTTCCTTTTGGGGTGGTGAAAATGTTCTGGAATGAGACAGTGGTGATCCTTGTATAACTTTGTGAATACAATAAATCCACACTTAATGTTGTTGATAGGTTCTTGGAAACGGTGACTTTAGTGGAAAAGAAATGTAGAATAGATCCTCAAATAACGTTCCCTTCAATGGAGTTTTGTCGTTACATTGATGAGAAAAACGTTTCGTTTAACGTCACAGTTCCTAAGAACCTATCAACGATGTTAAGTGAGGATTCAAATCGACTGAATTGTGTGCCTTAAAAGGGTGAATGTTATAGTGTATAAATTATATCTCAATTTTAAAATGTAGCCAAACAATAAATAGGGAATAAATAGAAAAATTTATGTACAAGTGTACCACATAGTGTTATTTTATTGGTGGTGTAGGGGAGGAAAAAAAAATTATTTCCAATATCCTTTTATAGGCTGTGACTGTGGCTTGCAAATTAAACTGACAAAAGACTAATGAACAGGAGAAAAGGCATAGAAATTTTATTTGATGTTCCTACTTTAATTGTGATGTGCATGAAAACATTGATTGTATTCATAGAAAAGAAGTGAAGACCCTTTGTTAAAATAGTATATAAGCCCCCTACCATTTTAACAAAGGATGATACATTTGTGGAGAAATGACAAGATAAAGGAAAAGGACTTTGGGTTCCTAGGGGTGGCAAATTGTGGGAAGATAAATATGTGGGGAAATTAATGGAAGATCAGGGTGACTTCAGTAAGACTGGTTTGTGCAGACTCACCTTCTTGCTGACTTTTTATCTTCAGTGCTAACTAACTGTTGTTCTCTTCCTGGTATAAGAGAGGGAAGGAGAAGAATCTTCACAAAGGAAAATTTATGTCCTGCTTTTAGGCAGATGTGGGAGGGCAAAGAGCTCTTTCTACACATGCAGTTTCTTAATTGCCTTTAGCTCAAAACAATCCTTATGGAAAAGTGGCATATTTGGGGTGGGACGTTCTGATCTTCTTCAGTGGGAAATTGGACAAACTGAAATATACACCTACGGGGTAATGAATGCCCACATATGGTACATTATGAGGCAGCTTTATGACGATGCATTATGTAGCCATGAATAAAATTTTGATTTTGGAAATTAAAAAAAAATTAAATTAAGTACTTAGGACAGTATTTGACATCTACTAAGTGCCTTTAGTGCTGGCTGTTATTAATGAACTCTAGGACAACCCTGTAACCTTGGGCTCCTCATCCCCATATGGCAGATGAGGAAACTGAGGTTTGGAGAGGCAGCATGACATGGACGTGCTGCCCCTCCTTCCAGTCTGCTGTCAGGGAAGGGCAGGGTCTTGGCATCAGGCCTTTCTGGAGCCCGAAAGTGGCAAGGTCTTGGTCCAGCACCTTCCTGCACCACTCTGAGCCTATGCTGGCCTCAGTGTCCTGCCTGTGGAGGGAGTCACAGCGTTGTGTAAGGATTAGCATGTGCAGATTAGCCTGAGACTCCTTGGGTAATGTTGGTACTGTGCTTCTGTGATAGGCCCCAGGCAGTGGAACTGGGACCAAATAGGTAGAGACTCCAGAGACAGGATCACTTCCCACAGCCTGCCTCACTTGGAGGTAGTGAGCCAGACATCCCTCAGGGTGACCTGCAGGCCAGGGAAGGAAACTTCAGGAGGAGGCAATTCAAGCAGAAGCCAGGGCATGGCCTTTCCCCCTCCAGCCAGTGTCCCCAGGCCCTTTTTAAGCCAACTGCCCTTGAGATAGACACCCCACCTCCCCAGGGCCTCAGTTTCCCTTGCTGAACCGGTCTAGCATGGTGGTTATGATTAATACAGTCTGGGGGCCCAGACTGCCTGGGTCCACATCCCAGCTTCGCTGCTTTTGCTTTCTGACTGCATGACCCTGGGCAGGGAAATTCGCTTCTCTGAACCTCAGTTTCCTCATCTGCAAAATGGAGATGAGAGCAACACTTATCTTACTTCTTGTAAGAAAAGTGAATGCAATGTTCTCACTAGTACTCAGTGTACCAGCAGAGTCTGGTGCGCTGACAGCCTCAAGGCCTGTTGGCTATTACAGTTACTATGACTGTTTTATTAGCTGTGAAGGGACTGGATGACACGTGTGTGCCTGGAGGCAGGGGCTGGCCCCCCAAGTCCCCGTCCCCCAGTTCCCAGCCTGCAGTCCCCCTCGCTGCCTTCAGCACCAAGTGATCGACAGATTGGGCCAGTGGCATCCTGGCAAGCCTGTCCTGGCAGCTGCTCCCACAAGGCGAGGCCCTGTGAGCTGCAGAGAATTAATTAGGCTGCATTCCTCTTCCAGGGCTCCTGGCGGGCCCGCACACGGCCCCCTTCTTAGCTGCCGAGGGCTTTTGGCTTGGATCCCTGGCAGGCCAAGGCGAGGCCCACACTCTGCTCTCCCCTGAGAGGGGCTGGGAGGGCCCTTGTGAGCTGGAAGCATTGGCCGGGAAGAAGCCAACAATAAACCAGCCGCCCAAGGCCAGCTCCCGTCCTGGCTCTCCCTCGTTCAGCAACCTTCGCTGGCTACCTATCACTCAAGTTCAAATTCCTGGCATGGGATGCTATTCCCAGCCTGGCCCCTGCTGATCAGGCCGGCTGTCCCTCCCTGGACTCTCATGCCCTGGCCAGATCTGCCTTACACCATTCCCACCAAGCCCTTTCCCTCATCCCAGACTGCACAAGCCCTGCCCGTCCTTCAGCCCCCATCCCACCAGCTGGAAGGCCAGCTCACGACATACTCCACCTCTGGCCCTTCACTTTGCTCTTGTCTGTCTCCCCTGCTAGGCTGTGAGACCTGAGCAGGCAGCCAGAGAGGTTTCCAGAGGCCTGAAGCCCTGATGGAGGGCATTCTGGGCATGGTAGTATTCTCCTGGAAGGCATTTTCTGAGGCTGTGGTGGGGGTGACAGCGGTGGCGGTCTCTGCTTCCTAGAGCACCTCCATGCCGGGTGCTCGGGGCTTGGTCTGGTGCTCAGGCATGCACTGCCCCTACCTGCCTGCCCCTTCCAGCCATTCCCAGGACCTCGCCTTTAACTCCCCAAAACAGCGGGGAATACCTCCCTTCCTATGAAGACAGGAACCTTCACCTATGCTGTTTCCTCTGCCTGGAACGCTCTTCTCCACCCTCCTCCTTGACTGATTTCCCCAGAGTTGGGCTAGGTCCCCTTCTCCAGGAAGCCACCCTGGGCTCCGCCTCCTCAGGGGCTCCATTTCAGTGTGGACATACCCTATCAGAGAGGTAAGATAGGTTGGAAGTTAAGAGCCTGGGGTTTAAAACCCAGCTAAGCCACATCCTAGCTGTGTGACTCTGAGCAAGTTACTAACTGCTCTGTGCCTCAGTAACCTTTCCTATCAAATGGGAATAGTAATGACAGAATTTGCTGCATAAGGTTGCTGAAAGGAACTAAGGAGTTAATACGTGGAAAGCACTTAGTAAGTGCTCTGTGAATGTTTGCTATGATTCTTATCTTCATGTTTAACCACTGTTTTCTTGAATGACTCTCCTCTTGGCCTGTGAGGCAGGAGCTGTGTCTGTCTTGCTCACGAGAGGCCCCCCAGAGGTGATTATTCATAACTGTTGAATTAACGGATGGCCACATTCCAATAGTTTGTCACCGTGATTAGGCAAATGACTTTTCTGAGCTGAAGACCTAGCTGCCCGGACTCTATTTTCAATGAGAGACAGAGAGAGAGAGAGAGAAACAGAGAGAGAATATTCCACAGGGCTCTTTCCTGAGCGAGGGCTGTGGAGAGGCAGCAAAGGCCCCGTCCGTAGCCTCACAGCCCCGGAAACAGGACCTAACTTCTCTCTGACTCAGCTTCCTCCTGTCCACATAACCCGAATAAATCTGGGTCATCCTGTGCCCCCTTCTGGCCAGTCTCTGCCTAGTGTTCCAGTCAAAAGGAACACAAATTTGACTCAAAAAACCTTGAAAAGAGCCTGTTCTATATTTATGGAAAAGGCAGGAGGAGGGGAGATTTTGGGCCAGAAAACCCAAGCTTCCTGACGCTTAGATGCCTTCTTCCCGGGGTTCGGTTTGACCTGGTGGCTGCTCCTCGTAACTTTTTCTCTGCTTCCTTCCAAACTCTAGCCCACCTTCCCCACCGTGGCTGAAATGCCAGCTACCTGGAGGGTGGGTTAGAAGCAGGGACAGACTTCGGGTATATGTGACCCCGTGGCCCTGCAAACTTCTTGTCCCATAGAGAGGTATGGCTGGATGAGGGCCAGAACGGGGCCCCCGAAGTGTAGGGCCCCAGCTGGAGGCCCCTGTTTCCCAGGTGTATGGGTCTAAAGGACTGTAGTGTCACCCTTACCTGTCCCTGCCTTCTGGGCCTCCTCTACTCCTTTAATCATCTCGGTTGCTCAGTCATCTGGGTCACTGATCTCTGAACCCTGGCCAGGGTCCCCGGGGCCTGTGCCAAGGGTGGTGAATGCTTCTCTCCAACACACCCTCCGCTAGGTTCTCCTCTTGCTGCTGCCAGGCCTCTGTCACAGCTGCGGCCCTAGGGCTGCCTTATCCAGCTGCCTGACCTGACCATGGGCTGTTGCGTTTGGATTTTTGAGGGACAGGATCATGTTGAATGGGAGCCTGTGATGCACTCCCAGGGAGCGATGCTCCCCTGGCATCAGGCTCAGATGGAACGTGAGAGGTGCGCTCCGGCCCTGGGCTGGAGTAAGCAACAAGTGCCTCGGCTGACCCCGTGACACCAGCGTCACCACCGGGATGCACAGAGGATCCCTAAGGACTTATGATGACTTTGCTTCTCTGCCGCTGGTCTCCTCATTCACTCAGCCCTGACCGGCCCTCTGTGGCATATTTCCAAAGCCCAGCCCTGCCGAGGTCCCCCGCTGCGCACAGAGCTTTTGTGGGTCCCTGCAACCCACAAGGGGAAGTCCAGGGTCTCCCTATATTGCCCAGGCTGGTCTTGAACTGCTGGGGTCAAGTGATCCTCCCGCCTCAGCCTCTTAAAGTGCTGGGATTACAGTTGTGAGTTGCCACCCCTGGCCTCTTTTGAGTCGTTCTATTTATTTTGCATATCTTTTGAGGCCACAACAGTAGCACCTTTGTCCATAGTCTTCCCTGTCCCACTCATTCCATCATCACCATTGCCAGCCCCACAAGCAGCCTCTGCCTCTTGTCAGGCCTTGGGCTAAGCCTGGTACCATCACTTCTCTGTTTAGTGTCCACAGCAACTCTGCGAGGCGGGGACTATTGCTTCCCATTTTCTAGATGAAAAAAACTGAGGTTCAGAAACTGAAAGAGGTCTGTTCAACATCACACTGCAGTGGTGACTCATGAATTCAATCAGCAAGTATTTATGATGTCCAAAGCCCAAGGTGAGGGGCCAGGCCGGTACCAGGCTGTGGTTCCATCATAGCACCCCTCACTGACCAACGGGGCACCCACAGCCTTGGGATTCACCTGGTCTTCTTCCTTGCTGGACAGTTTTGCTCCAGGCCTTACTGTCAGCCTCGCCTGGGACAGAGCCGCTGGTGTGATGAGTCCCTCCACCCTCGTGTCTTGGCTTCTTCCACACACGCTCCTGGGAAAGGGCTGGCCATTGGTTACTGGCCTGATGGGAACATAGGTCCTGGAATCCTGATGTCACAGCTGCAGGTAGCTGTTGAGGCACATAACAGAAAAAAGCCCAGAGAGCGCAGGCTAGCAGCCAGAGACATCCAGCAAGTGCGGGAGTGGAACCCAGTCACCTGCCCCAGCCCTTTCCTTCTTGTGTCCTTCAACTTCCAAGCGGCCCCTTCTTGAGAGGAGCCTCCAACCCCCTGCCTTGGCCAAGACAAAAAACCAGAGTACGTTTCCTCATTTATTATAAACACAAGTTCGCAGGTAAATAGAGGGTCTAAAAAATACATTAAAATAAATAATTGGGATTCTCGAAGTTCTTAGAGCAAATAAGTTATATACAGATGGGAGAAGCAGAGCAGGCCCTTCTCACTGGGAGGGTCCCGAGGGAATGAGGGTGCAAGGACTCTGGGGAGGGAAAGCTGGAGATGACACAGTCAGCCAGGACACCAGCCCCACGGGAGCCGTCCAGCCTCCAGGCACGCGTGTTCCCAGCTGCACTGTTGCTCCTGCTTTGTAGCCTAGCAGACAGGACACTCCTCAGGATGCAGCCTCCAGATGAATGTACTCCCCATGCAGTTCCTTCCAGCAGAGCTGTGGGCCCGCAGCCAGCGCTGGAGGCTGCTCTGTAGTCTAGAAGCCGAGGGCTTCCCCGGGCAGTGTGAGGACACGGAGCTGCCTTGGAGGAGGCTCCCTCACCAGGGCGAGGAGGCCAGAGCTTGTGCCAATCCTGGTAAATGGGTCCCGCTGTCTGGGAGTAAGGCCCTGGTCCAGGAAGCAGGCAGAGAGTCTACAAGCCTTGGCCACTTCTCTCCTCCTGTCTCCCCACGGGCTTCCTTCCCAATGTTCCTCCAGCTCACGGCACTATCTCTTCCTCCACCTGGAGTGTGTGGGCCGCGGCTCCCGCATCGCCTCCTGCTGTCGCTTGGCAAGGAGGCTCTTGACTGTGGAAATGTCCCTGGGAATCAAGAAGGGTCAACTTAGCATCTCAGGAGATATGGACCGTCCAAGAGCTCCCCACGAGAATAGGGGCAATGGGGCTACAACCCTTGTCCAGATCCTGGGGTCACAGCTGCCCTGGGGTCAGAGAGCGGCCACAGACTGAAAGCAAGGTCTGCACAACCAGCACAGGCCAGCCCAGGCGTTGAAGCTCCTCTGCACATGAGGACTTTAACAGAGCTAATGTTCAACATCAAATGCTGCCAGAATGAGTGGACAGCCAAGCACATCCCTGTGGGTCTCCCGTCATCTGCCTTCCCACTTATTTCCACACCTTTCCGCACCTTTGCTCCTACTCTTCCCCCCAGGCTGTGTGTATTCCCCTCACCCAGATGCCACCTGCTAAAATTCTACTCATTCTTCGAGGTCCAGTTCAAGGCAGTCCAGCCCAGAAAATAGGGCACCCCGCTGCCCTTTGAACCTGGGTGGGTGGCCACATCCTGGCTCAAAGAACTCTCATCTGGGAGCCAGGAGGCTGGCTTCAGTTCCCAGCGAAGGAAACTTGGGCAACGATCTCAGCCTCTCTGATCCCCTTTCTTAGCTTGTAAAACAAAAATAGGCCTGAACTGCCGAAAGTGAGTATAAGGTTGGCCAAGCCACTCTGTACACTATGAAGTGTGTGCGTTTGAAAAGTCTTGTACTCATTTTTTTCATTCTCAGAAAGTTCTTAAGTTTATGTTGGGTCCTGTCCATCCCACCATCCTGCCTTTTCTCCTATTTTTCTGCCGCCCCCAAAAGGTGAGAATCCCTGAGGGGCTGAGCTGGGTCCTGGGACCTGGCCAGCTGTGAGGAGCCCTCAGTGGCAGAAGTGGTAATGGCAGACCCCTCCACAGCTCCCACGGGCACAGATCCTCGGCTACACACTTCATGTGCGTCCACTCATCTGACCTCACAGCAACCCCAGGCGGGGATGGATGGCGCAATTTCCCTGTTTCCCCTGTTCAAATTATAGGAACTAGAGGCACGGTGAAGTGGAGGGGCAAACCCAAGGTCACAAAGCTTGTTCCAGGCTGGGCTGGTGTTCAGATCAAGGAGTCCCTGCCCCAGAGGCTGCCCCTACAGCCACTCTGCTGCCCGGCAGGTGCAAGTGTCTGTTCTTGAGTTGGTTTGGTTGAACAAGCATTCATGGGCACCTCCTAGGGGCCAGGTCTGAGTCACATTGAGGCACCAGGGAGGACATGCAATCTGGGCAGCAGAGAGGGAGCAGGCTGGGCAGGTGGCCCTTCTGGACCCCAGTATGTGTGAGATGCTCCATTCTGCACAGCCTGAACCAACAACTGTGGTCCTTCCCAGTCGTGAGCCTTCAAACCCTCTTCAAAGTCCACTTGCAGACCTAGTGGTAACGAAGAGCACAGTGGGTAAGAGCACAGACTCTGGGGTCAGCCAGATGCCGCTGACTGCTGTGTGACTTTGGGCAAGTGGCTTTCCCTCTCTGAGCCTCAGTTCTCTTTGCTCCCCAATGAGGACCCAGGCCTGCCTCACATAGAAAATATAGGACATGTGCAAGGCATACAGGAGGTGATCAATCTGTGCATGTGTCCCACACCCTCACCTCAGCCTTTGGAGAAGCTCTCCTCTAGTGGCCCCTGTCTTGCCAGTCTGGAACACGTCTGCAGGGGACTTCCGGCTTGGTACTGCCCGGGCTTCAGTCCTGCATGAATAGCATTAGGGCCCAAGTGAGGGACTGCCCAGAGCCCTGAAGCTACCTGGCTGCAGGCCCAGCCCAGCCCCCACCCCATCCCCATCCCCATCCCCACCGGCCTGCAGGAGCAGATCCATTTCCATCCCTGTGCACCTGGCATCTTTCCTTTCCCAGGTGGGGTGTGGACCAAGGAAAACTGAGCTACCACGAATGTGCTCTTAGCCCCAAAAAGAGGCAGCTTTTTTTGCCTTCCCAGAATCTGGCCACCTGCAGCCGCAGGGGAAACTGAGGCAAGGTGGAGCCTCAGCTGGAGCCCCAGAGGAGGAGTTTCTTGTAAACCATCATGGGAACTGGAGCTTGGGACTTTTTTTTTTTTTTGAGACTGAATTTCACTCTTGTTGCCCAGGCTGGAGTACAATGGTGCGATCTCGGCTCACTGCAGCCTCCGCCTCCCAGGTTCAGCCGATTCTCCTGCCTCAGCCTCCCAAGTAGTTGGGATTACAGGCACCCACCACCATGCCCAGCAGTTTTTTTATATTTTTAGTAGAGATGGGGTTTCACCATGTTGTCCATGCTGGTCTCGAACTCCTCAGCTCAGGTGATCCACCTGCCTCGGCCTCCCAAAGTGCTGGGATTACAGGTCTGAGCCACCACGCCTGGCCAGAAGCTTGGGACTTTGAAGCCAGTTTGGTTTTCCCAAATTCTCCATGTGGATGAGGGAAGGAACAAAGCCTCACACCACTTTACAGATGGGAAAACTAAGGCTCAGGTAAGATAGGAGACATGGCAAAGGCTCCCCAGCAACTCTGGGGCTACCCTGGGATGGCGACATGGCCTCCCAACTCCAGATGCCATTTCTTCCCTGAGCAAGTTGCAAAGTCCCCTGAACCTCAGGTCGGAATCCAAAGCCCAATAGGACTTGTTCAGTCAGACCCAGGCCCAAGGCCCGGCCCTCCTTCTGACAAGCTGTGCAGCCTCTGTCTGACAAGCTCTGTCCCCTCTCTGGGCCTGAGTTGCCTCAGCCGTCACTGGCAGACTCTGTCCTGCCCAGGAGTGAGGACATGAGTGTTCCCAGAAGCCCCCAGAGCTGGGCATCGGGAGGCTCCCAGGGGTGACTGGTTCCTGCAGGAAGGGATAGTGCCATGGACCCAAGCAGCCTGTGGGCCCCTGGGTCGCTGCTCACCCCCAACTTGCCACTTCGCTCCTCTGCTAGTCTCCCAGACACCTGCTTCCCAGGGCATGCCTGGGCTTGCAGCTACCCTACGCCCCTGCAGGCTGGGTGCCCACCTACCAGGGCCTTCGAAGGCAGAAGGTGGCACAGGAGGGGTCCCTGGCGCTGGAGCACTGACAGCGCCTTGGCAGGGAGCGGCGCCGGCGTCTTGGCGGGTTTCCCAGGCCGTAAGGAGCTGTCTGTCTGTGGGCGGGCAGCCAGCAAGGTAGTGGTGTGGGGTGGAGGGGGAGAGAGAGAGAGAGAGAGAGAGAGAGAGAGAGAGAGAGAGAGAGGAGAGAGAGAGAGGATTAAATAAACCACAACCACTGGCAAGCAGGGACTGTCCACACTGCCCACTGGGACAGCCACCTATGCCAGCAGGTGCCAGTGAAAGGTGACCAGCCCCTGACCTCAAGAAGTCATACCACTGAAGTCACAGGCTCCTCCACAAGGGTCCTGGTAGCCCTTGGCAGGACCCTTCCCTTCTCTGGGCCTGGCTTGGCTCAATCAGAACTCCCAGCATTGGGGGAAGGAAATCTGTGATTCTACCCGAAGTTGGGAATTGGGAACCTCCTAGTCTCTCTCCCCTCTCAGTCTGGCTGGTCCCCCTGTTCTCAAAGAAGGCTCTCAGCGAGCTCTGGAGGAAGGGCAGCCACTCCATCTCCCAGAAGTAAACACAGGCTCGTAGCTACGATGCCCCCACCTGGTCCCCACTCGCCTGGAGGGGTAACAAATGCGCCTTAGAGGCTTGACTTGAAAGTGGGGTGTGTGCGTGTGTGCGTGTTCAGATGGGATTGATTTCAGATTCAGAGTCTGATCAAGTGGGCCAGGGGAAGGGCAGGGGCTGCGGCTGGCTGGACCAGCACTTTCCAGTGACAGAGCTAATTTTAGACGGTGTGGCTGGAGTCCTAGTGACTCCAGGTAGACTCAGCACGCAGGGACTGGCAGGGTTCCCGCCCTAAGCAAGTGTTTGGATGCGGATTAGCTTCACACACGCTTACGTGCAGGGCTTCTCTTGCCTTTTGCAATTTGGGGAAGGGAAAAAAATCACAAACACACACAGAAACTTCAACTGAAGGTATGCAGTGGCCTGGAGGCAGCGAGGGTGCAGGCGGAACAGACAGCACTGGGCTCCCACCCGGGTGTAGCCAGTAGCACAGGGCAGGTTCTCATCTGTCGTTTGAGGGAATATCCTGCCTTATGGGGAGGATGGGGGGCTCCTGAGATGATAATGCACGTGCAGTGCTTGGCAAAGAGCCTGGCATAGTCAAGGCACGGGTGCTGTCACTAATCGTATTATTCTTGGAAGAGCATGCAGAGGCAGCGTGGCAGACACTGTGAGCTCTGGCATTCCCTGACCGAGGATGGCGCCTACCCTTATGATTACCTGTGTGATCTTGGGGAAGGCGCTTAAGCTCTCTGAGCCTCAGTACTTGAATCTGGAAAATGGGGCCAACACTTGCTTACCAGGCTGTCTTAAGAATTCTCAGGAGACAGCCCTCTTTCTGGCTCAGGTGGTCCCCACTCAGGAATTGAAACAATTAACTATTGATGTTAGCCAACGCCCCCACCTGGAGGCCCAGGGAGAGCTGGACTGTGTCAAGCTTCCCTAGCATGCCAGTAGTTCCCACCCTGACACCCTGCCCCAGAGCTCCCCCTGCCCCCCATCCCCACGGATGCTCACTCAGGAGTGTTCACCCAGATGATGTCCAAGTGGCAGAAGTAGACGCACTCCTTGTCGAGCCAGGAGCTGCAGGAGCAACGGCGAAGCCGCAGGTGGGTGCCTTGGGCATGAGGTGAGGATGCTGGCTGCTCCAGGGTGGCAGCAGCCTGGCCCTTCCCTGCATGCACAGGAGGGAGAGAGAGGCGGAGAGGAGGGTTGGGGTGCCTGGCACATCCCGGAGTAGGGGACCCACCGGGCCCCTCCTCTTGCATAATAGAGGGAGTTGGCACTCTTGCTGCTCAACAGCTCCAGGCCAGCCCAGGGAAGTCCCAGCAGCCCGTGGGGAGCCTGGGAGCCTCTGCATTTGCAGAACCGTCCCCCTGTGACCACTGCCGCCAGGCTCCCGCCCCTGTCTGCCCCCAGCTGGCTTGGGAGGCACTGCAGCCCCAGGGGGAGACGCAGGTAGACAGACCCAGGAGCTGTAGGCAGCAGGTGAGGCCAGGGCAGCTCACCTTCATGCAGGGCCACGAGCAGGGCTAGCGCAACAGAGCACCAGGTGGTGGGCATGGAGACCATAGCAGCGGTGGAGCGGGCAGGCTGGCCTGGAGCAGGGAGCGCCTGTTGGCAGCGTCCTGCTGTTAAGCTGAGCAGATAGCTCATTGCCTCGGTGCCCTGGCTGCCTCTTATACCAGGCGTTCTGCCCCACCCCTTCTGGTCCAGCCCTGCCCCGCTGCACCGGCGGGCTGGGAGCCAGGGACACCGCCTCCTCCCCAGGCGCCCGGCCCGACCCAGCCTCTGCAGTGAAGGGGGGAGGGAGATGGAAGGCCCGCTCCTCCCTCTGTGCCTGGAGCACCTCTGGGAGTCCTGAGGATCCCCGGCAGTCCCCAGGGGCCCCTCGCAGTCCAGCTGGACTTCCTCAAGTCACCCCCAGCTGCCCCGAGCCCCCTCCCTCACTCTCTCCGCGGCTGCTCCACAGGTCTTGCCCAGGGCTGTGAGTGTGGAGGAGGAGGTTCCATGAGCAAAACCCTTCTCCTCGGAGGAGACTCTGCCATCTATCCTGCCTGCCCTCTGCCAACCAGGCTGAGGATGCCCCTCTGTTGTGTGGGATGTGAAAGGCCCACGCAAGGCTGTTTGGCCTTGGGCGAGTCAGAGCCCTCTCTGGGCCTGCCTCCCTCAGTGAAGGACACAGCTCATGCCTGACTTCTGACCAGCCTGGAACTGCTTCATCCCCACCTCACCCAGGAAATGCCCCCCTCAACCTCTGCCCTATCACCCCAGGGCCTGGGGCAGGAGTTCTAGTCCCTTCCAGAAGCTGTTCAGCTATGCAGCCATGGCCAAGGGCATCCTTCCTGGGCCTGTTTCCTTGTTTGCAAACAAGGCCAAAACAAGAAGATACTTCACCTGCTTGGCTTACAGGCTCGTTTGAGACTAAGAAGGTGGTTTCAAACCCTTTCCAGAAAGATGCTCCTGAGGACACACACACAAAGCACCCCTTGAACAGTCTCCTGTCCCGGCCGTGACAGGATGTCTCGGCTCCCACTTGTGGCTACTGTCTGCAAAAGAAGTAAGGAGGGGACCTCCCTGGGGGCTGGCATTCCGCTCCCGCCCCTCTGCTGGCCCAGAAGCCTTGCTGGAGAGGGGAGAGCAGGGATGAACCACAGCTGTGCTGAGCAGCTCGGGGACCTGGCAGGCACCCTCTGTTACTGCCCCAGCCTGGCTCAGAGTCCACTTCCTGCCGGAGTCTTCTCAGGGACCCTGTCTCCAGGCACAGCAGGAAAGGCCCTCTCATTTCTCGGAATTCCCAGGGCTTGTGTCTCTCATGCCGGCCTGACTCATACCATTGCACTTATCTCCCCTGTAATCTCAAGGTCCGGAGCCCCAGAGGAGGCAAGGCCTGACACCTACCCTGCACACAGTAGGGGCCTTGCGAGGGCTTCCTGAGGGCAGGGGGGTGAAGAGACACACACCTGGCTTTCCACTTACAGAACCCAGGATGCCCAATGCTCAGTTCCTGTATTCAGCAACTCCTTTGTCATTGGACATTTACGAAGGGGACAATAGGTGACCACCAGGAACAGGCAAGTTTGCATCTTCCTAGGGTGTGCCCAGAGCAAGCGTGCAGGTGTGAAATCCTGGAGAAACTGGCAGAACTGATGGAGAGTGACAGCAGGGTCTTCCTTCCCTGAGGCTGGGCTGGCTACTGTGAAAAAAACAACAAATGTTTCCTGAGCACCTACTACGTGCTTGGAGCACTATCGACTCTTCCTCACCACAACCCCAGGAGGCAGCTATTATTACAGGGGAGTCAGCTGGGGACTGCCCACAAGGAGGCTCAGAGAGCAGCAGGGCCTGGCCAAGGCCACCCAGCGGGCAGGTGGCTTGGTCTCTCAAGCAAAGCACAAGGGACTCCCCGTGAGGTGCTCGCTGCCCTCCCACGTCGTGCCTCTCGAAGAATTTAGAAGAATATTTCTGGAATGAGGTGAGCAATACTCACAATCATTTCTATCAGCCTCTGAGAGAATATGAGTACGGAATTAAGCAGGGTCGGGGGCTGGTTGGGGGTGGATAGAGAATTCAAACCGCTGGACCGTGAAGAGAAGAAAGAAGGAAAAGCAGGTCAGCGGGGAGACGGAGGGGGCCAGGGTGGGCAGGAAAACAAACAGGGAGGCAGATAAAGACAGGCAGAGAGAAGGGGAGAATGAGGAAGCAGTGCATAGCCAGAAAGAAAGAACTCGGATTTGAGAAAGTAAAAGAGGGAAACCATAGGGAGAAGAGGGAAGGTTCTAAGGCGTCTAATCTTTACACAAATGCAAAATGCCTGTTCAAGACAATAGGGAACCAGAGGCTCCCAGCCGGGGAAACATAATAGAAGCATTAAATGAACCCAGAGACAGGATCCCTCCCGGGTGTGAAAGAAGGGTGACGACAAGGCAGGGGCCGCTGCCTGAGCCCTGCAGGGTCAGCACAGCGAGCTGTGAGATGGGCCCGGCTCCGGTTTCTCTCCTTCTCTGCCCTTGGCTTGAGCTGGACAACAGGGCTCCTGTGAAATGGAGAGGACTGGCCCAGGAACCTGAGCGAGCCTGGATCTTAGGGGATGAAACCATTTCTGGAACAGCGCTACCCCACTGACAAGAGTTAGTTTCCAGGTAGGGAAAATTAAGCTGAGTTAATAATAGTCAACCCCAGCTCCCCGGGTCGCTTAGCCTGGGCCTCTGTCCCTCGCCTCTGCCTCTCGTGGCTGGTCGGACTGTCTGACCCTGCCACCTATAACTGTCCTGGCTTCACTGTCCCTGTCCTTTCTAGGTGGCCTGGCTTCATGGCCCCCTGGCCCCACTGCTCTGGCTCTGGCACCTGCCTGAGTTTGTTAAGGCTGCAGGGGGAAGGGCAGGGAGCCACTGAAGGTCACCCTTTCAGAATTTGAAGACAATTGCTTTACTCACTAAGCGATTTGTTTCCCTTATGCTTGCAGCAGCCCAATCCGAGAAACAGGGATGTGTGGGGAGGGAGGGTTGGCAGAAGAGAGCAGTTGAGTGTATTTCTGAGTAAGGCACTGGGCTAGAAACTGCCCCCTAGAAATCCTCCTGTCTCCACTCCCATTTGATAGATGAGATAACTGAGGTGCAAGAGGAGGAGCAACTTGCTCAAGACACTGATGGGGCTGGGCATGTTCTCTTGGTTCCTAACGTGCCTCACCCTTTCCTGTACACCCGTGAAGCTCTCCCAGGGGTTCAAACTGAGCCCAGGATCCTGGGTCCCTTGGAGAAAGGCTGTCAGGAGGGACCCCACTGGCAGGAAGGCTGGAGTACTGGGATGAGGTTAGACTGTCTCTCTGTGCACCCCAAAGCTCCCTCTATAGTCCCAGCTCTAAGAGCAAATATGGTCCTGTCAAGCAGCTGTCCAGCAGCTGTGGACACTGAGCTGAATGGAGGTTGCATGGGAGTGAAGTCTAAGTGTCCTGGTGATGTCTGATACAACAGGGCTGGGCTGCAGCAGGTGCCTGGGATTGCGATTGAGGCCCTGGACCAGGAAGCTTTGTCTCAGCTCTGCTTTTCATGCTATGTGGCCTAGGGCTCCTCTCCCTGGCCTCAGGTGTCCTGCCTTCCCATTGATGGCGAGAGGTGCTTTCACCTCTGACTGCCTGTGACATTCAGGATCGAGCTGACCTGAGTTTAGAGCTCCCCGGATGGAGGCTGGCAGACTCCAGCAGCATGGCTCTTGCAGCTTGAGGCCTTCTGCTCTTTCACCTCTGCAAAACCAGTCATTTCCCCGTCGACACTTGGCCCCATGGGGTTTTGGGAAGTTCTGTTTGCAGACCCAGTGGAAGGGACACAGTGTCTTCGCTGCAGGCACACACCATGCAGACGGCCTAGCAGAGCGAGCAGCTGGGAAGAGGGGCTGGCTGGGGGAGATGACAGGAGCTTGCAGGGGCTGGGAGTTGGGGAGGGTTTGGCCCTGGAGCCAGCCTGGGCTGGGGTTTAGGGACTTAGGAGACTCAGACATTCCCATCACCACTTGTCCCAGATGCTGTGGGTTGGGCTGCCCCTACTCAGGCCTGGGGCCGCTCAGCCTCAGGGCCTCTTTCTGGTGGGTGGTCTGGGCCTCCTGCCATCAGCCACAGCTCACCCTGAGCCAACAGGACCAGTCACCACCCACACCACTGTCCTCAAACTGGGTCTTTGCAAGGGCAGCCTCAACCTGCGGGGCCGGCTCCCTTGGTCTCCATGGCTTACCTTGGAGGACACCCTTGGTCCTCCTCCCTCCGTCTCAGCCCATTTGGAAAGATTTATGTCTCCCACATAAACCGTACTTTTAAAAGAATAATTAATGTGCCCTGTTTGTTATCAAACTAAGGATAATCAGAGCAGGGTCAGCCAGGCCTATGGAACTGCTAGAATTTCAGCTGAAAGCAGACATGGTTCAATCAAGGCACCCTTGTTAAGAGGCCATGTAAGTCCTCCTGGACTTTTTGAAATGAGGAAACCAACTCAGGGCTCAGCATCTAGGATGAGTTACTTCTAACGGGCTAAGGGCCAGATTCCCCACTTAGCCTTTTAGGAATAGAGGGTAAATAAGCATTTATTGAGTGCTTAATATATTCTGAGCCCTGCGTTAAGTGATTTACATATATTAGCTTCGTGAACTGTCACAACATATCTCTGGGGTAGTTACTGTAATGAGTCCCTATGTTATAAATGAAGAAACGAGACTCAGAGAGGGCGACTTGCCCCATGTCAGACAGCTAGAAAGTGGCAGAGCCAAGGTTAGAAAGCAAGTCAGTGTAGCCCCAAAGCCTGGCCCTGAGCCTATGTGTCCCCAGTGTGCTTTCCTGACACCCCAACCCCTGGGGAGCCCCCCCACCTCACAGTAACTCTTTTCCAGGGCACACTTCCCTGCTCTCAGCAGGCAGAGAGCCCTAGGCAAGAACTTTTCCCCTTATGCTTATCTGCTATGGGACCAACAGCCTATACCATGTCTATCCAATGATCCTGCCATCTATCCACCTACCCACCTATCTATCTATCCATCCATCCATCCATCCATCCATCCATCCATCCATCCATCCGCCTTTCCTCCCATCCACCTTCTTTCTATCCATTGATCCATCGATCCATCCATCCATTCATTCATCCATCCATCCATCCGTATACTCACTCATCCATCCATCTTTCCTCC